TGTGTGTGTGTGTGTGTGTGTCTGAGTTGTTGAACATTCTATTCTCGCTGCATGTATGTGTCTGTGTGAACACGCACGGGCCTGCATTCATCCGCTTTAATTGCGTTCTTTTTGAAGTGAAAAGAACAGAAGCTGTCTGTCAGATTCACAGTGAAATTTAAGCAATTGCTGCCTTGAAAGTGCTTTTCAAAGACAAAGGGCCCAAGAAGATAGAAACTAATAGCAACAAGCAGCACACACTCTTCCGTGTGTCCGGATTAGGCGTTTTGGGCTGAAATCGGCATGCTTTTTTCTTTCCCGTTTCCCGCTCCTTCTCATCACAAAAGCTTTGGGCTCGTCTTTTCCGTCCTCCCTCTTGCTGGCGTTTTGTATTTGTGTGATTGATTGCTTCCAAAGACTTTCTTTTTTTTTTTGCTTTGTGTTTCTAAGAGAATGACTCCATTGTAAAATGGTGATTCTCTCTGTAATTCTGCCTTTGAAGGAGTCTGGCCGTTTGTGCAATCTATATGAGAGAGAAAGGGAACGCGTGAAGGAGAGAAAAGAAAGGCAATGAGTACACGGAGATGAACATATGCACCGGGAGATTTTCACACTTTTGCAGTGCCTACACATGTATGTGAAAAACCGATGTTGCACAACATAAACACAATATGGAATACTTATCTTTTTTTTGGATGCGAGGACGCACGTTAACAAATGACTTTATGAGGTGAGAATATAGATGAGGAGAAGGAGAGCTGGTGAGTCGTGATCTCAAAACACAGGGTTGTGGATGGCAGGGAAAAATGCTAAATTAAAACATTACAAAGCAACTAAACATATAATGGTGCATAATTAGGATAGTTAAATAAACAGGCTTATCGACTTTTAAAATCCTATCCCTGTATCTATTTGTTGACAGGCTGTGCATCTAATTGAGCACTATGGTATTTTGCCACTACTGTATTTTTTATTACATTTTATTTTATTTTTAAAAACATTTTAGTTTTGCATGCTAAATCATTTTGAATACAAAGACTGGGTTTTAAACCAAAACCAGCTGAGAACCACTGAGGTAAATGACAATGTGTAGCAAAGTTACATTGGTTTTCTCTACAGTTAAATAAACCCTGACAGGGTGATCGGGATCCTGAAGTGAAGCAGAGGGATCTGGTGTGACTCTGAAGGGATTTATTTTGTGATAATGAACAGCTAACTAGATTGTGCCACTTTTTACATAGATATTTACATAATGAATATCTATTATACGAGCAGAAACCGACTGCATAGTGATTACAAGAAATGTGAAACTAAGACAGCATGTAGGAAAGCTGTTGTCTGGTACAACAAAATCAGAATGGAGTATTCCATAGAGCTGTGCAATATAGAGGGTGTATTGACAGCTGTCTGAGAAATTGACGTTGAATTATGGATTTGACATGCATTAGAAGATATGAACTCTCTTAAATCTGCTTGGAAATCATATCATATCATATCATGGTAAAGCAAACGATTGAGCTGGAAGGTAGTTCTTTATTACGTGTATTACAAAAGTGTTGAGCAACCATAAAATATATCAGAGCTTTGCCTCTGGAAGGAGGATTTAAATCTCAAACTCCTGTGCTGATCCTTGTGAAGCATCTGTCACACACACATAAAACTCTCAAATTTTGCCCATGTCTTACTTTTACGATCAGCTCTCAGCGATGGTAAAATTGTGCTTATGGCCGCAGATTTTTTAGAGGTGCCATGGAGTATTGTGCATGTTAAGTGTCAGGCAAATTGCTGTTAAGTCACACGTTTTGAACATAAGCATGTGTGAGGGACCGTGGGTGTGCGCGCTCTGTCATTTTAATTTTTTTTTGTAGGTCCTCAAAACCAGCACCCCCCACATCCTTCCCGCCCACAAATTAATTGCTGCTTTTCAGGGACGCGCTTGGCTGCGTATTTGTCAAAACACAGGCTGACTGAACTCTCCGTCACACCTCAAACCTTACACTTTCTGACGTGTCTCATCTCTTTTATGACACTTTTCAAATAAAAGGAACATTTCCAGATGTTTGGCGTAATTTCGCCTCGGATCCGCAGGGCTGCGGGGAAAGCGATTTGGAGAGAGGAGATTTGTGGGGACATACTGTCTTTGTGTTTGTCAGGCGTGGACAGGTTCGCTCCCCGGTGCGGTGAAAATTTTATAGAACCGTGAAAAATGGAGACGGAGATGGAATGGGGAGTAATAATATTTGTGCATTTATTGATGTCAGAATTATGAAGTGCCACATTAATTTCCATTGTTCCAGAGAAAAGCCGAAAACAAGTACTTTTAAGAGTCCTGCATCATTTTCTGATTTATTGCAAGTTGAAAAACAAAATTGCCAATATCAACCAACTTAATACCTCAAGGAGAATGGTGTAGCCCACCTTACTGGCAGGCCCACTCGACATCTGTGCTTGCAGAAAGCAGCGCAGATTTCCACAGTATTTGTCCTCCTGCCATTCACAGCGCTACACATCCCCCTTCCCCTTATGTGTTCATTTATTAAATATTTTGGTTTATTCAATTATGATTTCAGCTACCTATAAAATAGTAGAGTCTCTATGCTGTTTAACACTTTTGCTTGCTTGAACCATACAAGGAGTAATAAAGTCCATAAAGTCATGGTGATAGCTATAGAGGATATTGATTTTTCTAGTTATTCTTAGGTCAGATCAGATAGAAATAGCTTTTTTTGAGGGCACTGGCTATAAAATGATTCATAAAAGTCCTTATCTTGTAACCACAAATGACTTGGAAAGTTACAGAAATTTGCTAGTAAAAAGTGTGGGAGACCTGCATTTACTTAACATGGCAACATTGCATGAATTAATGATGAATAAAAAAATAAATAATGATACTCATTTAATGAATGCACTACATCATGATGGCTGTTTTCTCTTTCCTCAGGCACTCTGCCTTACGAGATAAAAATCGTTATAGCCGGGAATCACGAACTGACTTTCGATCAGGAGTTTATGGCGGACCTGATAAAGCAGGATTTCTACTACTTTCCCTCGGCCTCCAAACTCAAGCCAGAGAACTATGAGAACGTTCAGTCCCTGCTCACCAACTGCATCTACCTGCAGGACTCTGATGTTACCGTCAGGGGCTTCCGCATCTACGGCTCACCGTGGTGAGTGTCTCTCTCTCGCGCACTTTCTCAAGTGTGTTTGTCACCATATGTTGTTGTGTTGTCCCTTCCCCCTCAAGTCTTTCTCATTTTTTGCTCCTTCTTCCCTCATTCTGTCTATCTCTCTTGTTAACACTTCTTTTGCCAACCCTCCATGTCATGCAGTTTACCTCTGTGCCAGTGTGTGTGAAAAAGTAAGTGTGTTTGTGTGACTTTTAGGCCCTTATTTCAATAATAATTATAAAGAATAATTATTATTATTAGAATAAAATTAAGAATTTATTATTTTTATTATAGTTTATAAGTTTCAATAATTACTGTTTAATACTACTGCTACTATTATTATTATTTATAAATATGTAATATTTATTAATATTATTATATATTTATTTATACTTTGGGCATTTTTTTGAATAAATAAATTAATAGTATTTATTTATTTTATTTTATGTATGTATTTGTTTTTTTTTGTTTTTATTTAGGTAGGGCAGTGTTTCTTATTATTATTATTATCATATTTATAGCTTTTTTTATAATACATTTTCTAAACAATTATTATTAAATAAATAGTATTTATTTTTATTTATTGCAAAAAAAATCTTTTAGGGGTTAGGGCTTGGTTTGGTAGTGAACAACCAACAATAGACGTGCATGATATTTTCATTTTTATAGCTATGTGTGAGTGGTGTAAAGTGTGTGTGTGTGTGTGTGTGGCCCATCTAAGGTGTGTTCACTGACAGGTGGCTTCTGCAAATATCACAGTAAGCCCTTACAATATCAAAGTTGATAATTAAGCATTTATTTGTGTGTGTGAGTGTGTGGCTTGTCAAGCTGATGGTGTTTACAACAGTCATGAACTCGTGAGCTAGATTAAAACCATCTAGTATTAATCCACTCTGATATGTCCTGACAGAAATCCTCATCTCGTGCCAGCATGCTTGTGTGTATGTGTGTTAACACCATGCGGACCTAATAAAACCACTGAGATCTGGTAATAGCATTCCTCCATAGGGGAAGATGGACAGAAAGTGCGTCTGTGAGCTTTTATCATCATCTCCCTCTGTGTCAGTCCATCAAGTGCTACATTCATTTCTGTCCTCCTGTCACTGAAGACGTTCGGCCACACTGGGGCAGAGTGGCAAAACTCTCATCTCCATGGAGGTTTTAAGTCACTGGATTTATGGGCCGAGTCCTGTGTTGCTGCAGGCGATGGCTGCATCACTCAGTAGAGTTGTCAAGTCAAGTCAAGTCACCTTTATTTATATAGCGCTTTTAACAATACAGATTGTGACAAAGCAACTGAACAGCATTAATTAGGAAAATAGTGTCAATAATGCAAAATGACAATAGTAAACACTCATTTTTCAGTTAAAGACAGTTCATCATTGAATTCAGTGATGTCAACATCCAGCTCAGTTTAAATAATATCTTTGCAAGTTGTCAATCTCCTCATCATTTCTTCTCTATCTTTTTGGCTGCTTCGTCTAACTGCTCTGCCCAAAGCTGTCTATTGAGGCAGTATTTTAAGATACATTAAGTGTCAACGTTGTTCCAAATGGTAGGCGACTTATTTGATACCTTGTTTTGGTCAGATTCTCATGATCGCATATATCCTTCACAGAGAAAACAATCCCAGAATGAATTGGGGGAAGAAATCCAAAGTAATCCAAATATTTAATAAATATTCCAAATCAATCACTTATGAGGTTCCATTTCATTTAAGACGTCACCTTAGAGGGCACTTCAAGGCAGCTGCCTATGTAGTCAGAAGTTAGAAGGCAGTAGGTTTTGGAGCTGAGTTTATGTTGTCCATCCAACTATTCGGAAGATTAGTGGAGACCACGGCAACATCAATTCACTTCTCTTTATCTCTCTCATCTTCTGGCTCAACTTCTTTTCTTTTTTTTCTGCCTTTCACTTTACCTCCATTGTCAGAAAAAATGTGTACAATTTTAACCTTCAGGAGTACAAAAGCTAGTCACTGGGACAGTACACCTTTTGTTCCTTATCTACCACTAAAGGGTGCATATTGGTATAAAAGATACATCCTTTAGCGGTATATAATGTACAAATGTTTACCTTTTAAGGGTGTTGCCTCAGTTAAAATCACAATAAATGTAAAAAATAAGATGTCACAAAGATATATTTGAATATAATTATAAAGTAACAGTAATTATTAATTGTTATAAATATAATTTTTAAATAGCAGTTATTGTTATAGTAATTTTATTTATTAATTTATTTTATTGGAAAAAAATGTGAAAAGTTTATTATAGAGGTAGGGAAATAATAATTTTATCATCATCATTTTAGTTGTAGTCATTTTATTTATAATAAATAAATCAATTTAATTTATTTACTTATTTTTTTATTTAGCTTTTAAAAGTGGGTTTTAAAAGCTTAACAATCAACAAAAAACTGCTAAGACTATCTTGCGTACACTTGTATAAAAAAACTACAAAGCAGTTTAAAAAAAAAGAAGGTGTTTTTCATTTGATCGTGTCTTCTCATCAAGTTTACAAAGCCACTTGTTGGTTTTGAAATGCATTTTTAAAATATAAATAACTAGAAACATGACACACTATCACAGCGCTCATGGCGCAAGATGTTAAAAAACAGCATGAGTCTTGATGCAATGGCCAATGACATCCATCTGCATGTATGTGGCTGTAGCGGCAGTGCCTTAAACCCTCTAAGAGGGTTGTACCGGGCACATCAAATGCTAAATTAAATACCCCTACTACAGTAGAAATGGAAAAATAATAAATAAGAGTAGGCCTGGGCGATAAAACGGTATCGATATTTATCGACGGTACACCTTCTTCGATAACGATGTAAAAAAATGTTCGATATAGTGCACGATATAGGCACGTGCTATGAGTGACGCAGACAGCACACACAAACAGGAACATGAGTGCTGTGCCTGCCTGTGATGAGGAGATTGTGAATAAAAAAAAAGAATATTAGTCGAATTTAAAATAAACATTTGCATTTGAAGGCAAAAATGTTATAATGAATGTTAGGTGTGTGTCAGGGAGCGTCATCAGTGGAGCATGAGATGCGGTGATGATGTAAGTGACATTGTAGTTTAATGTTTTGTTAGTCTAGCCCACGATACGTGCAGTTGCTGCGTTATTCATTCAAAATATTAGAAATATAGTAGCTCAATGCGGAGAAGATCTTGATTAGGTTAAAACCAAAACCAAGCCATTCACACAGAATGCATATTCAGCGCATTTTTTAGACGGACAAATATAACTGCTGCACTTGCGTCTCACACAAGAGATGTATAGAAAGCCATGCAAAGTTAAAACAGTTTAAACTTTTAGAAAACACTTCACGAATTTGTGGAGGTTTAATCCTTTTCACTGCGTCTCATAAGTTTTTAAAGGCAATCTGTGTGATAGGCGATTCGGCTCTTTGGATTAAGCAATGCGTAAATACGTGATGCTGTTTTGTTCATAATTTGTTTATGCAATTTACAAAATTATATTTGATTTATATGAGTTAATTTAGACGTAATGCACGTTTTTTTATAGAGTTTTATTCCATGCGTGGACAGTTTAATGTGCTGCATTATTTTGCTCATTGCGCCCTCCTGTGGCCTCGGGAAACAAGCCAAAAGTTTAACCTATTTAATCTGCATATAAAACATTAGAAATTAGATATTTGTTTAATTTAAATTTTGTGTTTGACTGTTAAAACAAAAAGATATTTGTTGTTTGTCTCAATAAATTGATTTATTTTTTAAAATACAGTGATTAAATGTAAAAAAAAAAAATTTGATTGCTCTTTGTTTTAAAAAAGGTTATAAAAATGTCAATAATTAGATACCGAACGATATGAAACATTATATCGTTGATACATTTTTTTAGCTATATCGCCCAGCCCTAAATAAGAGAACGTCTGAGACTAGTAGTCCTCTCTAATCAACTAGCCAGTTGTTGGACCCATCCCTACTCGTAATCTGCGTGCTTTCACATACACGGCTAAATGAGATCTTGGCACGTTACATTCTTTCTTAGATCCTGACTATTTGTCATGCAGTGATTCTGGAATGAAAAGAACTGCATGGGGGAAACATGTGGCGTGTTTTTCTGTTCTGCTGACGCTAATGCAAGTTTACAAGTCATTTGTCATCCGCAGATCTGCAAATGCAGAGACGCGTGGTGCTTCTGTGCCTATTTGTGTGCGTGTGTGTGTGAGCCGGTGTGGGTGGATGAAGTATTAAGGACGGCTGTCCCTTTCAGAGAGTGTGAAGCACAAACAATGTGTAGGATCCACAGCACATATCGCTCTGAGCTAAACACACTCACTCACACACACACACACAGCCTAAACTTTCCCACATCTCCTGAGTATATGCGCTCATATGGACAGTTACTCACAGACACGGTGACAAGTCACGATGATGCTTGGTGAACACAAACACATCCTGTGTGCCCTGCAGGGGGTTACCGTCAGTGGAAAGCTGCTAGCTGAATGTTTATGCACCAGCAGTAAAAGAGCAGGTAGAAGGTAATTGAGAAAAGTGCATTTAAACTCACGAGATTAAAATGATGTTGCATTGAAATCAAAAGACTTTTGGTGGTAAATAAGATTGTGATGGTTTGCCTTTGTATATGCACAGTTTGCAAAGACAAAAGTGTCAATTTTGGATGTTTTGCTCTATTATTTGGGTAGTTGACATGACGTCAGGCAGTGTGGCATGCTGTACTATTTTGAACAACATTTATTGTTGCATGCATTTTTTGTGATGCATATTCATTTGAAAAAAAATTACATTTATTCATTTAGCAGACTCACTTTTATCCAAGTGTTAGGGTAAGGTATCTTAATGAGGCAATAACATGAGAAGTTCTAGCAAGTTTCAAACATCGTCCAGAATAGTACAAGCTAGAACAGGGAAGGAATGGAATGGAATTTCTATTGTAAAATTAATTTGTAATACTGCAGGAATTCCCACAGGAAAAAAAAAAACTGTAAATGAGTTCGCTTTAAGA